GAGTGATTGCACAACACAGATGGATTTTCGTCCATTTATTATTATGTATAGAAGAAGATGAAAATTTCCATTCCGGATCTCTGCTCTTTGGTCTTACTGAGCAAACGGTCTAAAAACGAAGAAGGTGAAGGGACAGAAGTAAGGAAGAGAAGGGAGATAACAAAGACTCGAGAGATGTCAGTGGATTTTGCACCTTGAGGAGCACATGCTCACTTTATTCCATATATAAAATTTTAAAACTGAGTTACAAAGATTGAAAAGAAAAAAAAAAGTCTGTAGATATTAGAGAGTGAGTCACATGCGAGCAAGCTTTGTTGGAATATTTCATTGATTTCTAGTATGGGTGAAAATAACAAAAGTGGGGAGGTATAATAGCATTTTTTTAAGGTTTTCTAAAAGGGCTTCGCCTTGTTATTTTTTCCATGTGGCAAATAAATTGGCATTTTTCAAGAAAGTTGGAAGATGGAAATAACATTTGCTTGTGAGATTCTTGTTAATTTTGGGGGGTAAGTGGAAGTTCTTTTTTTTCTTCTAAAAGGTGGCAAATGCGTCTGAGCACACCTCAGAGTTTCCTGGAGAGAGGTGTGGTTTTGGGAAATTTGACAAGTGATCATATTTGTTTAGGTTTGACAAAATGGCATGTCCTTGTGGGTTTAGGGGCCACATGCCAATGATACAAAATGTGTCATTTGTGTCGAAGTGCAAAGAATTGTGTGCCATTTATTTAATTGTTCCATTTGTTCAATAGTGTCTCATAGCTATGAAGTTTTAGGATTAGGCTAACCAGCCACTATTTTAAGTGTGTCAACAAATTATGTCTTCAACTAATGGAAATAGCAGAAAAGTTGGCTTTGACATAGAGGTTAGATGTTGGTTATGTAAGTAGCTTCCACGTCCATAGCACCTCTGCGCCAGGTTGATCGGCATTACTTACAAGATGACTGCTTGCTTTAGAACCAACGGGTTCACCCTTCACTTACGAAATTAATAGATAAGGTAGCAGCCAATCTTTTTAATTGGTTTCTGCTATGCCCCAAATGCATATTAACATTGCTTATGTTAATATTACAAGTCATACTGTTTTATCCTAGTACTACTAGGAATAACATTCCATGCATTGTCAATCATAATAGTTCACAATTTTATAGGGCAACATGTTTTACATACACATTTACATCGATTGAAATAGCTTCTTAGACTTGAATTGTTCTTTTAGAGGTTATTTGCTTCTTTTTAGTGTTACGGCGATTCGAAGTGGTGGACGTTGGATTAACATATGTCTTCCACTAGCTACAAGGGAAGCATCCACTTGTTGACCCTTAGCTCATGTTTTACTTATGTTGAAAGATGATGCTAACTGGTTATATATATTTGTCCATCTTGCTGTTCATGTTGTATCCTTCTCAATTACTATCCATACTTATCATGGTTTGATATGTCTAGGGTTTGGTAGTGGGCCATGGCCATCAGGTCATGGCATTAACTCGAACAAATAACTATGTAACCTAATAAGTGAGTCGTGAGAGCCTTTGATGTTGTGATGAATTTAGTCGATGGGGGAGAGGGGGTAACTGTCATCACCGTCATGTGCATCATCTCTCCCTTCACATGCAGTGGGAGTGTTGGTGGAGATAGGATGTGTTTGTCACGGTCGGATAACTTTTGACTAACCACCTATTGAGGCACTTCCCATTGGAAATTGGGTGGTGTAACACAATTCCAATTGAGATAAAATTGTGCTTTGGTGGTTTTGACCCAAATCTTGTGTGAAAACTCATGTGTTGGTTGGGATACCCTGGTAGTACTATCGAGGATCAACTTCAGTGCTTCTTTAAATGTCAACTCAATTTTAGGATTCTTTCCATTACTAGTAGAAAAACGAGCATGAGCAACGGCCGCTGGAGGCGGTTGTGACCAAAATTATGAAAGCCTCATGTAATACACCCAATGCAAGTGGCTTACATTGTTGTAGATAGCTCCGGAGGCGGTCAGAACAATGACTGCTTGTAAGAAACATTAGATGCAGTTGTTGTTTTATAACTGCCTCAAATTTCTCACCAACGCACACGGTTTCTATTTTGCAACCACACGTGTCTGTTCAGATCATCGGGGCGTAGCCTTCTTACTCTATTTTCCTTCCATTTCCCTTGCCCATCCCATTCCACTGCCAAATCCTAGCACCAATGAGCTAGTCACACGTCCGCCCATCTGCTGCAGCGCTCTGCCCTTCCATGGGGGTGCGTTGGCTGATCTGGCCTCCTAGGAGGCGAGGTGGTAGATATGCCCGTCCGAGGCGGCGTGGTGGCACGACCACTCGTCCGTCTCTGCATGGTGGACAATCCCCTGTTCGTGGTGGTGCGGTGACAGATCCGCCATCTAAGGCGGCACGGTGGCTCGTCTTCCACTACATTGTGGAAGATCCCCTATCTGTCGCGGCACGGTGGCAAATCCGCTAATTCGAGGCATACACAGTTTGCAATTGATGCTTGTGACCACCACCGATATATCCGAATCTACAACATGGTGATCTCAAAATATTTTGCCACGGTTTATATTTTTGTATCGATAGTTGTTGCTTCTAGGGTTATTGATCTGTATGCTTATGTCTTTTTGTATGATTAGTTATTTCTTATATGAATGTGATTAGTTGACACTAGTAGAAAAGGGGGCAAAGGTCCAGGTCGGGTCAGCCCATTAGTCCCGGTTCAGTCCAGAACCGGGACCCATGGGGGCATTGGACCCGGTTCGTGAGCCCCGGGGGCCGTCCGGGCCACGTGGGCCATTCGTCCCGGTTCATCTGGACCTTCTGGTCCCGGTTGGTGGGACGAACCGGGACCAATGGGCCTCGCTCCTAGCCCACCACCATTGGTCCCGGTTGATGGCTTGAACCGGGACCAAAGGCTGCCCTTTAGTCCCGGTTCATGCCACCAATCGGGACCAATGAGGTGCCTATATATACCCCCTCGCTTAAGAGCAGAGCACACTGCTCTGTTTTTTCTGGCCGCTGAGGGGAAGAGGGCTTGGTGGTGCTCTAGTTCACCTATTATGCACACAAGGTGTTCGATGGAATGCCCGAGCCACACTACTTAAGCTTTCTCCTCTCCAAGCTCCACCTCCAAGCTCCATTTTCCTCAATATTTGTCTTGGTTTAGCGGTCCGTCACGCCCCGTCCCCGTCTTCACCACCGTCGATCACTCGCGCCGATCTCATCGCCGGCACCACCGTGGTGAGCCTCTTGTTCTTATCTTCTTTCTGAAAGAAAAAATATTCTTACTTGTATGTTTAGATAGATACTTGTATTATTTTCTTACTTTTATTATTACATCTTATATAGTGCGATGGTTTTGGTATCCGCCCCCGTCGGCCCTCGTCTTGTCTATGATTCGGATGTGGTATATATTATCTTTTCATAACTATTGGTTCATTTATTGTTTATGACAATTATGCCGACCAACGTGACATAGATTTTATTTATCTAGGAGGTTGTTGAACCGGAAATTCCAACCGACCCTATTGTCGAGAGGTTAAATTTAGTTGAAGAAGAAAACAATTTCTTGAAGGAAAAAATAAGAAAAATTGAGGAGGAGAAGATGATATTGGAGTTGCATGTTGCGGATGTCGTCGATGATCACAAGATCAAGATGGATGCAATGCGCTTGAAGATTAGAAAGATTAGAAAATATGCCATTCATACCAAGGCTTGGTATCATTATGTCATTGGATCAGTTGTTACCTTGGTTGCGATTATGATCGCATTTGTTTTCGCATTGAAATGTTTTACATAGTTTCAATGTATGATTTAATTAATTTAGATGCTCTGCAGAGCTTTATGTTGTTAGATGAGAACTATGTATGTACTTTGGTTTTAATGCGATGATGAACTTCTATTAATTTGGTCATTAATTATCTATTCATGATGTTCTATA